ATAATAATTGTAAGACCAGCCCTTAGATTATATATTTATATTGCATTGCCAATCATAATAAAGATCACTGGAATGTAACATTATTGTTCAAGAAATTTCCAATGCTTTCTTCCTTCAAAGTTTGTTGCAATAATTCTGTATGATGTTGCGTCGCTCTTACATAAAGAACTGAAATAACCCTCAATCAGTTCATCAGATGTCTTATAAAGAGTTACTGTCTCTATATATCAAAATCACATTGCCGAATTGATTTTTATACTATCTAGCTTTTTCTTTGTACGACAAATCGTTTTCGTCCTTACCTTGGTCTTCACTTTGTCAGAAATCATTGCTGTTTATAGTATGCACTGTTTTGTGTAGTTGTATTCTGTTTAATAGGTCCTTTTCTGTTCTTTTTTTATATTACCGTTTCAAAACACCTGATAATAACAAAAATTGTTGTTAAGCTTATACACAAAGTAATAGGTAATTGAAACTTCTTCCCTATACTCATGAATTGCTTAAACAGTTTACTTTTGTAATCATATGTCTTCATTAAAGAAGTCTATTTTATTCACTAGTAAATAAAATGAAAACAATTGTATATTGCACTTATCTAATCGATTTTTAATACACTTTGCACAATGAAATAATACTCTACACTTTTCTATTTGTTATTGATATAATAATATTGATATTTCAGATAATGGGTAAGTTGATTTATGCCTATTATGATATTTATTTTCAATCAGCTTTGTTGCTTATAATAATAATAATAATAATTGTTTTCATCCAATACCATATACATATATGAAATTAGTTAAGATAATTATTCAGGCTTTAAGTGAATATTTATAAGAGTTAACTATTGTACTTAACTACTAGTTATTTATTACATAGGCAGTATCACTTCATTAATTTGTATAAAAAATTTCAAAATAAATTTTATTATTTTTTTTGTTTAAATTTAATTTGTATTAAAATTTCAAAACTAAATATCAAGTTTCTATTAGTTACAGACCAAAGAAAGAATAGTGAAACATAATTTAAGAAAAAATAAATTCCTTTCTAATTGTACGACATTTTTATGTTATCAGAGGGGGTTTGTGGAGATTTTAAAAATTTTCACAGATTGAAATCATGAGTCAGTTGAAGCTAGACCACCAATGAAAACCTGGAAGCACTGGACGGCCGTTTTGTTCTAGTGTGGGACTCCTCAGCAGTGCGCATCCACGATCCCGCACCACGCGGGATTCGAACCCAGGACCCACTGGCTTCGCGCGCGAGCACTTAACCATTAGACCACTGAGCCGGCATCCGACGGTGTTAATGTCTAACTTCAACCAATCCACAAAGTTGCGCCACCATATACCATTGTCTTCAGTCAGCTGATATCTCACAACAGACCTAGTTGAACTCCACTGTTAACGGCTTCCCACTAGAACTCTTTTAAAGTCAGTCACTAGTGAGCAGATGATTATTATCAGAAGGGGTTGGTGGAGATTTTAGAAATTTTCACAGATTGAAATCATGAGTCAGTTGAAGCTAGACCACCATTGTGGATGCGCACTGCTGAGGAGTCCCACACTAGGACAAAACGGCCGTCCAGTGCTTCCAAGTTTTCAATGGTGGTCTAGCTTCAACTGACTCATGATTTCAATCTGTGAAAGTTTCTATGTCATGTCAATGCTTGTAATAACTAAATTGAATGATATTTATAATTATTTCATAACACATTCATACAGTGTGTACAATCATAATATACTGGTCATGTCCAAAACTCAATTCTATATAATCTGTATCATTTAACTGGTGCAAAAGTGAATGATTTTAAATAGGTGCTCATTATGATGCGTTTACAGACAAGAATACACAAGGGTGGAGGTGATTGTTTTTTTGTGTTGCACAGTGATTTGATTGAGTTAATGACTAATAATGAAAAGTTTGGATAAATTTATTGATATAATTTATTGTTTTGTAATAAATACAGGAAGAAAAAGTTCAGGAAATACTTTCCAGATGTTGTATACAGGAAAATGTGATTAATTCTAAAGGTACCTGTAATGTCAATATGGATCCCGGTGAACTTAATGAGTACGTTTATGTAAGCTTAAATACTTGCCCAAATGTTTGTATTGAGTTAAGACGGAATCACTTTACATAATCCCGAAAAAGATTTTTAATAAAAACTATACTGGTGTTGTGGTGTCCGAGCTGGATAGTTGATTGTAAACCTTTTCATTATTCATCTGAACAGGATCATCAGTACGTACTCCGAAAAAAGTAGATCAATAGAAGTTTCCCACAATTGAATAACAGCTTCTTTCGTAAATCCGGAATTTGATTGGTTGTTATCCATAACGGTATGGTTGTTGCTTGTGTTTAGTTTGGTCATTTTTTGTCCTTGTTGTTAGTCCTTTTTCTTATTCGGTGATAAGCTTTGATAGATTTCGATGTGTCTCTATTGTTTGGTACTTGATTGGAGTGCCAGGCTTCTAAATATTCTCTGGCTTTTTTGTGTAATATTTTGATGTTTCATCCATCGAGCTCATATTTATAGCTATTCACTTACATTAATATGAGCGAACCTATGTCGTATCGTTAAATAGCTAACTGCTGTTGATGTAGACAGACGAAAAGGGCAGCTGTCTTGTACTATATAGATTTTGTTACAGTTATTACAAATTATCTTGTAAACGATGTTGAGATTTTCTTTGGTTTGGAGAATATTGTTTGGTAAACCCCAATTGAAGACCTGGAAGCGTTTCTTAGAGCGTTGATTGTCTTATAGAAAGCTTTAATTTTGTAGGTTTTCAATAACTATTGTGATTCCTCTGTCGTACCTTGGCGGCAAGGTAAAACCACAGTACTAATCCAAGACCTTTCATGAAGATTGCTATTTACAGATGGACAGTTTTGTAAAGTTTTTGATAATATTCTTAGGAAAAATTTTAAAACGTAAAATGTTTATTGTATTCTCTTTTCCTTTTAGTTTTCTCATCTTATGAAGTAATAATCCTGGTTGCTCTTCTTAAGAGATCCAGGGCTAGGGGAATTTTCGTACCGAATGGATGTGCAGGGTTAAAATCGATATACCGATTAGAATGTGTCTGTTTTCGGTATATGGTTAGACTGAGACCATCATTAGAATTACTCTTAACTGAACAGTCGAAGAAAGGTAGTTAACCATGCTCATCTTCATTTCGAAAGTGAATTTGATGTGTTCTGAGAGCGTGTTTGTGTTTGAAGAAATTGCTAACAAGAGTCTTTTTAAAGAGGACAAATGTGTTATCTATATATCTGAGCCAGATGAGTGGTCTGATGGTACTGGCAAGAATAAGCGACTCAATGTAGGAAATAAATAAATTTACAGCAATTGGAGATACTGGATGTCCCATAGCTACTCCATTCGTTTGTTTATATAAGGTCCCTTTGAAGCTGAAAGGTTACATTCAAGCAGTTTGAGGGATTTCATGATTAGGCTAATGCCTAATGGACATCTGCGAAATAGAGTAATATCATTCTTTATTAAATCATAAACGAAATCAAGACAGCTATCGACTGGAATGCTAGTGTATAAAGATACATCATACCATTGTTTCGTTCTTGTTGATAGATAACTCTGAGATCTTTGATTTGAATTCATATGAATTCTTTACGACATTGATTATCTTGTGTTGAAGTGGCATTAGTAAAGACTGTTGAAGCTAATATAGCTTAAACACGGAAATCATTTCGTTTAGGGTTTCTAGCATGTGACTGGAACGATTCAACTTGTAATGATAAATTAACACAATATATGAGGTAATAATGATCTAGGAAACGATAAATTTGTGTTTGATAAACTAAACAATCTAGAACAAAACATTCATTAGATGTTATCTTAGCATATTTATGAGTAATAGAGGACAATATTAAATATTTCAGCACAATTTACTACTTAAACCGCACACTAAAATAATTACATGCTTGACCAAGACATTACTATTTTTGAATAAGTTAATATAATATTTTCACTTATTTTAAAGAGGTTATTTCTCAATATATGTTATCTTGTAGACAAATTCTCTCCACCTAAAATAACGTCGAAGAGTTGGATATTACGAGAGTCAGACTATGAAGTACAAACAAGTAATGATTTATGTATGTTTCTCACCACTTGTACAAGGAAACCTATTTTGTATACAGCTAGTAATAATAAATAATCTGTAAATATGAAATATATATATCCTAATAATTCATCCAACTTACCGTTAATTTCCTATACTATTAAATAAATAATATATTTGTAATATCCCAATGAGTAGAAAATTAGATTTTCTGACGTTTCGTGGCTTAGTGTAAGTCACTTCTTCAGAGGATATACAACCAAATTAAAATTAATCCAAGTTTAAATAGTACAACGGAACAATAAAAATAATATTTGATCAATCAAGAACATGTCTGAACGAGTTAATCAAAGGTCACGTATTTCATGCCTAATGATGGAGAGTTCAAACGCTAACTCTACAAATGATATCAACCTGTGACGTAACGATACACAGTAAACAGTACTTCAAATGTTGTTATGTCCCATGGCCTGTCAAATATCACGTGACAAAACCGTCAACCAGAACACCGACTTATATGACCTTGTCCATGTGCTAAACTAATGATGCGTTATTCCGCACGAATAGCCTTGAGTCAACTCCGAGTCCTTATTGGTCCTCACATAACCCAGCCCGTCCAGTCCAGAACAAAATTTCAGACTCTGCTTACTAAATCGTATGATTCAGATATACTCGGTGTATATGCAAGCCGACCAGACTACATCACACTATAAAATGAGGAATAATAATTAAGATCAAGTCAAAAGTGTTTGTGCGGGATACTGCAACTGATAAATCGGGAATAAGTTAAGAGTGGTAAGTCGTATTGCAGTAGCCAAAAGGTCAAATGAGTGCTCATAACAAAAGGGATACGAATATATATATATATATATTCTAGTAGCTTATAGTTACCCAATAAAAATAAATAAATAATTACTAGCAGTTACCATTCATTTATTCTTCGTTCGGATGTAACAAACATTATTAATAAACATACCTAACAAGCTGACATTTTGTAAATAGTTTTATTTTACCTACAAGAAGTCGTATTACTGTACTTGTTTGAAAATATAATCTATGTTAGTGATCTTGTAACAAATGACGTAACACTGAATCATAAAGTAACCAGCCAAAAAAGAGAAAAGATCATGAAGGGAATTAGGGATTGTGGACTCATAATAGCAAAACAAACTGAATTGTAAAACTATAAAGAGCATTTAAGCGGAACTTATCAACAAGATATAATGATAAAAAGATAGGAAAAAAGAATGATTTGCAGCAATTATCGTGAACATAAAAAAGTAACCTTATCACGTCACTCACATATACAACTTTAGTCATTTATAATACAACTCACTCTAAAATACATTCATATAAATCTCTATAGAAAATTGAAGAAAGAAACAACAAAGATGAGGGAGACGAAAACATTTCTAGATTTGAAAATGATGTTCCATTTTAAAATCATTAATAAGTTTACGGTGCATAGAGACTTTTAAACCCAAATGATCAATTTGATTTATGATGTGATCAGCTTGTAATAATAACTGGTTCACAAATTCTAGTTTTTTCAACATTAAATTAACAACGGCTAATTGTAATATTGAATGTATTAGAGTATACACAATTTCATGCATTTCACATTGTTTTGAAACGTTTGATTTCAGTAGTTCATTATCATTAGAGTAATTATCAATGAAAAATTGATACTTGGTTTGACTTGTTTGAATAACTTGTTCAAGAATACGTTCAGACTCTGTAAATACATTTAAATCAGCATAGATAACGCTAATATCAATTAATAAATTTAAACAGTTTGCATGGTCTAAAGGATAAATTTGACTGGCAATTTCATAAGCTCGTTGAGCATAAACTAAAGCTTCTGTTTGTCTTTGATTAGCAAATAGAAATCTGTGAATTAAAAATAAATATGTAAGTAATTGGACGCAATTTTTCATAGCTATGAATAATTATCGAATTTGGTGGGACTATAATCTATGGACAACTTTTGAGCAATATCAAAATGACCTTGAGGAGATTCAACCGCCACCAAATGCCAGCTATAATCAGCTATAATGACAAAAAGCTATTTAATTTAACACCAAAATCGAGGGCTTATTATGTAAATCTCATTGGCTCGTTCATAAATTATAGTCTCACCTCGGATTCGAAAATGAATTGTCACTATAGTTCCCGTGCATACCAGTTTGTAAAATGATATACCGTACTATTCAGCCAGGTTAAATGATGAGCGCACGCTGTTTGCCAAGATTCGGTTTCACTTTCTAGCGAAAGAGCACACCATCGGTTGAAAGTGTAGCTTGATTTTCTAAGGGAGATGTTTATTTAAGAATGAATATACACATATGACCATTTTAGTTTTAGTTAATAAAGGATTCCATGTGACTTGGTTTTTTCACTCATTAATCTAGTTTGGGCTTGTATATAGATAGCTTGTACATTAGAATCAAAATAAGATGACCCCATAACACAACATCAACATTGACTCACAGGTTAAATTGTGTATTTTCTATTTATTTGGAAGACTTGAGTAAGGGTTACGTAGTAATTTTTGGTGAGAAAGCAGGTTACCTTATAATTTATTGCAATTTTTTCCTTGAACTCAGTTCAGAGTGAAGATGTAAAAGCTGCTGTATGGCAATATCAGTAAATTTGAAATTTGATTTATGGCTAAAAGTGTACCAAATTCACGCTTGTTCTTGACCGAAAAAGACAAACATATTGAGTTACAGAATATACAGCTTGCATATAAACCAATCACTTATTATTTGTTATACGACTTTATTTTTTTAAGTGTGAGTAGCGTATATATGGCTGACATTTCGTTGTATACACGCATTAAGAACAGCTTTAAGTGAGCTTCGTAAGATTTAATAGTATTATTATTTATTTATTTTTTTGAACACATAAATATTGGTACAAGAGAGCGCCAATATATATGCGCCATATATGCGTATTCATTGAACACTCTAGCAATGTGCAAAAATTTGGAAATATTGCCTAGCTACACTTTCCAAATTTATTTGACTGGATTATACTCCTTGAATAAGATCTTCAAACCCTAATTTTCCTGATTACAGCTTATAATTTTACTACATCTAGCACTACGGGATTTGAATCGACCACTGCATCTCTGTGCTAATGTGGTGTGGCAACTCGAACTGACGTACGTACGTACAAAGTTCTACGTTGTTACCGACTAACTGAAACACATACACATTGATACAAGGAGGCACTAAATATATATGCGCCACACTTCATTATTCGATTAGTATGAGGGCTGGAATACTGCACGGGTCCCCAAACTGAAGCAGGTGGTCCCCTCAGGGAGCTACACTCCGAGCCTCTGACCTAGAGGTTTATTCCATAACGCAGTAGAACGCCGTTGGTAGATGCAGCCCCATGAGTCAACCCCATAAGTCAGTCGACATCAAAACAATGATAGTTCAACGATTCATTACGAAAAAAACTAATCTCAAAACTTAGACATTTGATGTTTTTGATCATTTAGATTCGGAACTGGTAAATTACGCATCCAGTAAAAAGCCCCTAAAATTGACTAGGCCAGAGGATGCAATCAAATTAATTGTTGAATATTTCAATTGACGGTTAAATATTTTTACAATAATTTAACTTATATTATCAGCACGGGAAAAATCATTAAAAAATATATATCAACCTAAACTGGACAGTTGATTAGGCCAAATGATCATGAAGAGTCTCATTTAATTGTATTTACAAAAACCATTAACAGGACTTACTTGGCAAAATAATTACAACACATTCCCAATAAAGCTTTTTCATTCATATGGTCGATATTTTCATCGAAACTTGTTAACTTTTTCTCTTGATTTTCTATACAAAATCGAAAACCCTTCTCAGCATCATCTAATCTACCAGACTTTTCGAAAATCATGGACATTTTAAGTGACAACTCAATAAACATTGCATCATTTGGTGATATTTTGGCTGTTAAACAATCCTCCATTGTCTGTTTAATTAATTTTTCTGCTTCTAAATAATTTCCCATAAGGAGATTTAGATTTGCCATCTCAGAACATATTCGTGAACGTTTATCGATGTATTCGTGATTGGTTAACTCATGATTTTGATAAGACTGGTTGACAAACCACAGTAGTTCATGTAACTTATCATTTGCAACACTGAATTCACCCGTAGCTATATGAAATAACGAATTATTGAATAGTTGTTGACACTGTTCGTGTATATCTTTCTTTTTCCATAATTCCAATGGCCACCAAGTAAATGATACAGTAAAAGACAAAGTTTTGGTAAATGTTGGTGAAATTCGAGGACTGGACTTAGTATACAGTAAACTGAGAAATGAAAAAATAAATGTTTTAGAGCTTAAGTAACATGGGTTTCTCTATTTTAACAGTAATATAGTTAACAAACTTATTACTTTGTAGGCAAAGTGACTTGCTGTTCGTTACATCGAAGAGTAATACAACTATAGGTAGCAAATTTAAAGTTCGACAGTGGAACTATAGTGATGACTGTATTGGTATGTAGTAGAAGTAAGATTTTCCCCACGAATAACCAACATCTCCATCAATGCGGCCTACTGAAAACGAAAAGTGACCCGGAAAGGTCGGACCGAGAAATAGTACATCTTATTTCCGGTGCTAATGGTGAGGTCTTAAAAGTAAGGAGCTAAGACATCGAAAACTCACGAAGTTGCGAGTGATGAGCCTGAAGCAGAAATTACTCAAGCTATGAGGATACAATCTATGTACCTCAAAGCTTTCCCTCTCAATCAAGTTTTATTTTCAGGGCCCTTGGAAAAGATACATTCTTAATGTCTGTGTGTGAGCAGGAAGTTATAACAACGCGGCTTTACATACTTAAGTAGAATGACTGCTGGGTTTTGTAGAACTATCCGGCAAGTTATTACATCAATATGAACATCATTTACCCACAAGTTGGCGTGAATGTAATAGTAAAAAGCAGGTGCTCCAGTGATAAAAACGTCTCCTTTAGACCCTCCCCCCTCTTCAGAACACAGTTTCGAACCTCTCCCTAACAAATCTGATTTCGGGAGTTAAATGAAATCATTAAACACTACACAGTGATCCTCAAATTTGCAAGCGGAAACCCGCATTCAGCGAATAAAGTACATAAAATTTAGTGGTTAAACAATGTTACAACGTACAAGAAATTTGCCGTAGTACTCCTAACACGAACAAATGAAGTGATTTTAGTAAGTCTTAGCAGCCGTCCTCATTGATATGAAACTTCAAAAACTGGGGTTCATTTGGATGTATTCATAAAAGTATAAGGAAATCCTAAAAATGATATGCAATCACTTAGGTGTTAATTTTAACAAAATAATATTTTTGACTGAAGGTAGAAACAGACAGTTTCATTTAAAACCTAAAGTTTGGCATACCTGCAAACCCGATAACGATAAAACCTCGTAAACCTCGAAATATATTTTAGCATTTTAAATTGATACACGACCAAACTTCATTTTACCATAATCTTCAATACACCTGCAAATATTTAAAACGTATTGGTAAAAAATTTGGCTAAAAAGCCCAAATCCGTACAAACAATCAGATTTTGAGAATTAAGCATTTAATTCCACTTACAAATTTTGTGAGGCTGCATTCGGAATATAGGATTCAAACAGAGAATCCTTTTTGAAACTAATTCAATGGCGAGGAATCAGAATGCTAAATGGTCTCTCGCCTATATTATGAAGACAGACGGAGACGCCTTAACCTAGTTCCTTTATTTTACCGAAGGTTACAGGCTGATTTGATACTGACTTACCGAACACGAACGATTATTTTAGTACCGTTATGTCTTATCTTTTTCTTCAGTCTCGGACTGACCATCTGAGAGGACATTGTAAGAAGGTTCAAAAACCGAGGCCATATCGTTTACCTCCCGAGTCCCGTTTCTCGCACTGAGTAATGAATTATTGGAATTCTCTACCAAAATACGTTGTATCAGCACCCGTTTAAAATTACAAAGCGATGGCTTTGATACCATAAACTCAATCGCAGATCGAGTTTTCACAGTACTGGAGATCGCAAGGGTAAATATAGGTCGAGTGACCTGTTCTTATGAAAACAGGAGGTATGCTACTGAAGACTGAAATGAACGAGACTATAATTTATGGACGAACCAATTAGACATAAGATAACGGGACTTGGATTTTGGCGCGAAATTCACTCATCAATTTGGCTACATGGCGTCTTGACATTTCAGCTGACAGTTTGTAATAAAAACCATAAATCGAATTCCTAATCATAACCATCAACTGTAAATCATGATTATATTCCCTCACATTTTTACAACCTTCATTCAGTCCTTGTTGGTAGGTGGACACTCACAATGTCACATAAGCGTCGCTTAAAGGTCGTCCACAATTCATAGATTCACCAATGAGAAAATAAACGACATCAAAGCGAGAAAGTTCTAGCGCATGACAATCTTCGAGTACTATATGTGGTTGGTCCGGAAAGTACCCTCTAGTAATTCGAAAACGAAGAATTTTATATCGTCCTACATTATCTCTCACATAGTAACTATATCCTTCTATTATAATAACAATTATATTAAAAATATTGAATGGAGATAAACCCCACTCTTGCTTGCAATTCTAACCTTGAGTCTGACAACCAACCCAAATGGTTCTGGACGGAATAAAGGCTTTCGCTTAACGGGTTTCCGTATCTAGTGGCAATGGATAACAGATACCTCCAGGTAAGAACCTAGGTGTATTTAATGATAAAAGAAAAAATGGTTGGTAAATTATAGTAAGATACTATCCTGAGTCCTTAAAGATATGTCAGTTTTTCTCTTAATGGACTCCTAGGAATTCGTTTGGAATAGCTCAGTCGGCAGCGAATTCCGACGTTAAACTACCCTTAAAGAATAGAATGTATACCTACAGTTCGTTCTGTTGTGTTGTATCTCCTGCTTCTGGGCGCTACTCCTAAGGCTTGTGTTAAGACTAAGCTGAAGTAGATGCTTAAGTGGATGCTCAAAAGTGTTTAGGATGCTAAAAGGTCACCTCTAGTGGGTAAATGTTAAGTGATTGAAGTTGCTCTTCATAAGACTTGTGTTTTAGTCCCAGAACTGATATTTTATCTCGCCGTTGGATACGTCCCAGAGGGTCCTTATCCTTACGGAATGAGAGAGAAAATGTTATGTTTTCGTACGCTACATGGGGTCGAATAAAACTGTCGAAGATTAGATGGAAAGTTCCGTCGAAATGGTTAAAAATGCACTTCACCGTTACCAGTAGACGTTTTACTCGAAAGACATTTTGGTTTCAGTTAGTTTAAGACTCTAGATCATAGGTTACAAACATTAATAGATCTTTTTAAACCTCTAATGCCTCTAGAGGGTAGTTACTTATGTTGTGTTAGTAGTCTGCAACATGTCTCGGATGGACTACTTTGCACTTTGTGGGGTCAACGGTAATTCCGTTGTTATCTGCCGAAATCTGAAGTTGAGTCATCCATCTGAAGTTCCAGTTTGTCACCTAAGTTGTATACTTCTTTCCAGAGTTTCATATTACCAGCGAAAACTAATGAGTCTAGCGATACCTGCTGTAGAAGATCATTTTTATAAAAGAAGGAAAGAACAGGTCCTAGTACTGAACCTTGAGGAATCCCACCACAACATTACATAACCTGGGAGAAAGTGAAGTTAACCCTGACCTTAAAATGTCTATTATTTAACAATGAAGTGAGCTAACCAATTAAAGGCGATTTGATACCTAATCGTTCGAGCATATTGATAAGATATATAAAGTTGACCCTACAAAAAGCTTTTGAGAAGTTGAGATATATGACATCAAATTTCCCCTTGAGATCAAGGATGGTTGTCCACCTGTCCACTGCAGTCAGCAGGTTGGCCAAATGAGAGTGACCTTTTCTGAAACCGTGCTGTTGATGTGTAAAGAAGTTTATGGATACCAAATAGTTGTGTAAACTGTCGCATTTCAGGGACTCCAAAACTTTTGAGGTTATTGAGAGGAGTGCCACTGGTTGGTAGCTTGAAGTTTCGTCGCGTTGACCTCCTTGGAAAATTGGTGTAATGTGAGCCAGCTTCCAATTTTCTGGTAATATGCTTGGGCTTAGCGAATGTGAGAATATAACGCTAAGCGGTGTTACCAAGATTGGAACAGAATGGCGGCGTCAGTGCCATTGTTAGTTCGGCCTAACAGTCAGAAAACTCCGGTTTCGGCTTGTCGAAGAGGGGCTGAGTGGCGGAATAAGCTTTTCGGACTGTAGACAAATTTGTTGATAAGTTTTATCTGATACTAAAGCCTGTCTTTTTAACTGCCTTTCTGTGTCTGTTGACGTTGTGGTTCTTCCTGTTTGACAGTTGAAATGCGTTTCGGATCCTCGTGCCCATTTCTGAATGGCTGAAATATTTTAAGTGGTAGATTGCATGTCCAAACCACTAGAGAAAATTTTTTTTAATACTATCGTAATACATGGTGGAGAGCGTTTTCCGTCATCCATCGTTTTTGGCTTACATGAAAAATATAGAGTTTTCTACAATAAAAAAATCTCATTCCGTCATGCTACGCATGTGTCAAGTGCTTCTCAGCCAGCCGGAGTGGAAAAGACGTACAGCGTAGCAAACTTCATATTTATTATTCTAGAATATCTACGACTGAATGACCAAATAGACGAAAACAACCGAAATTACGTCTAAGATACACTAAGCTGACTTGATAAGGTGGAGTTTCTCCTCCGTCCGTACTTGAAGCCAACTTGCTCCATGATTAGACGGTTAGTGGTAGGCTGTAGAATTTCGCCGCAATGATTTGTAAGCAAGTTTCGTTTTTCCAAAGCTTTTCATAAAGTTCTAAAAATATTGATTATTTAGTTCATTATATGGTGCATGCATATTAAACCAAATCATCTGTCAGTGTAGACAATCTTTATATATATATATATATATATATATATATATATATATATATATATATATATATTTGGTCAAATATACTTGGTTTTGTCATAGCCTAAGTGAATTGGCACGTGTTGTTAAGAACGTAAGGCCATTAAGCTGTCAGTTGTATTTTCTCTTTCCATGGCCCTCACGAGGGTGCATTAAACCAGTTCGTGTGAAAGTAACTACGAAATTTTATAAAGTATCATAAACATAGTGAAAAACTGTCTAATGCAATTACGAAACTCGTGTGTGTTACTTTCACCTTCATGTAACGAAGATTTGAAGCGGACAGTCGTCCGATACTATTTAAGTGCAAGAAAATTTTGATCTAGTACAAGGAACCGTTATATCAATTCTTGGATTAGCACTACATAATGTTAAGCGTTGTTTAGCATTGATACCCATGTGCCTTGCTGCTCCTTTGTTTCTTCTTTTTTCAGAATCTTGCTCTGAGGGCACGGCTATGTAGCTTCTAACTCCTGAAACGAACTTGACGTAAGCGTTTTCTTAAGGTCATAGTTCACACCAAGCGTTCTACAAATCTACTTTATAACAAATATGCATTTAAACATTTGCATTGCATAAATACTTAGCAAGACCAGAATTCTCACTCAATTATGCCGAGAGTGGATGTGGTGTGTAACGTAGACGCGATACCACTTTGGAAAACATTTGACGATTGTACATATTGTAGTACTAAAGCATAAACATGATCAATAGCACTCCAAGACATCTCCACGATTGTGCTTTCATGTGCTTTTATTGATTTCATTTATTCAGCAACCTTAATTGGGAAACATACTGTAAGCAAACTAATGTTGTAATTTTTAGATCATGCCTGGAAAAATAGCGTGTACCTACCCTGGCAGAAATATGTTATTATAGAACTATAAAATGGATTTATATAGGTGCGAAAATAATTTGAGCCAAACACATCGCATCGATTGAATGAGCAATTTAAGGGAAATATAAGTCGGCAAGAAATTCACAGTTCAAACTCATCGCACAGCTCTTTACAGGCAGATGTGTGTTCACATTACTTAGTGACTGTACTTACGAGTGGCTGATGTTTTAACTGACATATTACAATGGATCATCTACATGCTCCTAACACTTGTTAAAGAACCGATGGAGTCGATTACAATCATAGATAACTGGTATTCTCTAATTGAGCGAGTTAACTGGGCTTGAATGCTAATCGATATCAAAATAAAGTGGCGAATGTTCGAAATAATCCAAAAACGTATGTGACAGCGATGAAAATGAAAAAAGTTATGAAGTCCAATTATAAAAATGATCATGATACTTTGCACAAATTAAAGTCCCGTTCACCAGTGTAGAACACCGTGTGGTTAATCTGTGTCGATGATTTAGTGCCTTCTCAAGATGGGCAGGAACAATATGAACAGCTAGCTTACGTTAAAATCACACCTCGAGGTTAGTACCTAACGTGCAGTATGCTTTTGCAGTATCCTTGCAACACAGTTACTTTAATGACAATAACAAAAACGTATCGTTGAGACAGAAATGTGCCAGCAAGAATAGAAAGGATAACAATATGCCATTGCCGCATTTACCTGTCCATAGTGTAGTGTTCAACTCAATAAGTTGGTTGAAGATGCCGTTGGAGTAACTATCCTCCAAGAGGTTTGTGTAAAGTCTGAGCTTAATTGACTTCTATGTGACTGCGACTTCTCAGTTAAAAGTATTGATCTAATCAATCAACTTATCAAAAGTCGTTTCTATTTTACAGTGCTGATAATTTTACACGGCTTTTCTCTCCTTTAAGCATTGTCCTCAATCGCTTTCAATTTTCTTTCATCCCTTTCTGCCATAAAAAGCACAATGATTCAATAGATGAATGGTAATAGTCCAATAGAAACACATAAGTAATTATCTAACAGGAGCGCAAAACTGAAGAGTCGTCTCGGAACACAAAACATAACGAATTAAACAGACAAATAGCATAGATGTAAGCTGTTATACACCGGTTTCAGGAGGTTACAGCGGACCATCATAAGTAGCCGAGCATTGTCTACGCTATCTTTCATTTCGTACGTAGATTTTGTTAAGACTCAGATTACTTCAAAAGGACCTGTCCACTATCTGTGTAGTTCAGTAACTGCACCTGTTAGTGAGTTATCTGTTTTTTGCCGTGCTTTTTCCCCCTGTTATAAGGGTACCCTATGAGTTTCCTTATCATAATATCTCTTTTGGTGTTTCTGCATCACACCCAGTTGTATTAGAGCCATATTGCGATGCCCCTATACATCCTCTCTGGACTT